TCTCCTCAGTGCCAGATTATTGAAAGCCTCACAGCCAGTAAATTATCCAGCATTCGCTTGTTCCTAGTTTCTTTGTTTTTGACCACAGCTTCCCTCTTGACTCCTCGCTTTGTCTTTGCCCCTGTCTGGATACCACGCTCTCGGCCTGCATGGTACAACCTCGCTCTCCTCTTCGACCACGACTACGGATCATCCTTTTGCCTGTTCACACAGCTCCTGGCTCTCGACCCCTGCTACGTCCCTGGATTCTGTTTCCTGACCAGCCCTCCAACGTTCTCTGTCACAGCCCTGCTCCTGCCACAGAAGATTGGACCAGAACTGAGGCTCGGATCCTCCCCAGACAAACGCCTTTAATAAATAAAACCTTTTATTTTAATGTCCTGAGTCAGGTCTTGTGCTGATCCATACAGACTCGTTACAAGATGTTCAGCCACATAAAGCAGCCTGCTCTGCCTTTGTTTCTCTTTACCCTTGAACATGAATAATTAATGTGCTGCCTGGTGTATGTTACAAAGGACCAGCTGCTTCACTTACAGCAAGAGTCTTGCCACACATTCTTAAATTAAGCCCGAGCAGTGAAGCGTTTCGAAGGCCTATTGTAATCGCTCTGTTCAGGCCGGAGCTACAATTTTTTCCACCAAAGGAATTGGCGTTTTGGGGGCTCTCGAATCTGGCCTTTGTGAGCAGGCGAGGCTGAGGCTCGGGATTTGGCCTCACGGGCTTCAATGGCTCGGCAGCTCGTATGATCCTCCCGAGGAGACACCGCTCGCTCGAATTTTATAGTTGGTCACCAAACACAAAAAACGCCTGGACTTCAGAATTAAACACGGCGTTGTCATTATTGTTTTTAAAATCTTAAAAATAGATCCAGCCGCTGCTCCGCATCCAGAGAAATTGCAAATTCAATTCAAAAATACTTTATTAATCCCAGAGGAAAATTATATGTTGGGTAACTCATCATCCTGGTTTCATTAATGAGTTGTTATAGATGCTGATGGCTGTGGGCAAGAAGGATCTCTTGTAGCGGTCTCCTACAACGGATTTGAAGAAGCCTCTGACTGAAGACACTCTGTTGTTTTATGACAGTCTGATGAAGAGGATGCTGAGGGTTGTCTATAATGTTCTTCATTTTCTGAAGAATCCTTCTTTGAACAATCATCTCCAAAGGTTCTAGAGGAGTCCCCAGAACTGAGCCAGCCTTCTTTATGAGCTTGTTGATCTTTTTTAAGTCATTTGCTCTGGTGCTGCTGCTACCCCAGCAGATGATGGCAGAAGAGATAGCGCTCTCTACAACAGACTTATAAAAGATATGCAGCAGCTTGCTGCAAAAGTTAAAGGACTTCAATTTCCTCAAGAAGTACAGTCTGCTCTGTCCCTTCTTGTAGACGGCTTCACTGTTGCATTTCCAGTCCAGTCTATTGTCCAGGTGAACTCCAAGGTATTTATACTTCTCCACCACCTCCACTTCTTCTCCCATGATGGAAATAGGGTTGGATCTGTTCCTGAT